ACCCACGGGGAATGGTGAGGGACATTGTCAGCTCAGCAGTGAGCCAGGCAACAGCTGCGGGCAGTCGGTCCCGTATCGTCCGGAGCCCAGGCGAGCGACACAGAGTGCTGTCCTGCGGAAATAAAACCAACGAGGACACACTCAGCAAAAACATCCGTACGCCCACTGCGCGACAGGGCAACGTAAGCAAAATAAAATGAGCAAACAAGCGAAAAACGGGATCGAGTTAGCTTAACAAAACTGAACTAAAATCGTTGGGTGAAACACAAAAAATAAGCAAACAAAAACTGCATGCAAAGCCTCCGGGTGGCAAGCGCCACAAAAATTCTCTCTTGAGAACGTTGCAATATTATATAAGTACACCGAATGAGAAGCGGACGGGCTGATGGGCAACAAAAGCAGATACACAACTCGTTAGCAGACGTGCCTGTTACCCTTTCACGACTTAAAAAAAAACCACAATGCAACTAAAAACAAAGCACTCTCGTTGCTTTCCGCGTTACGATAAACAATAGAACCGAAGTTAAATAATAATTTTTCCACCAATCACCCATGCACATGTGGCCAGGAGTGCCCGCGCTTTCCACGCTACCGAATGGAGGACAGTATATTAATATGCTATCACCAGTTGTAAATTGCAAAGCCACGGCCATCCCCGACGGAAATTTTGGTTTAAAGTATCTCACGGTTACATCATGGCGAAAAATAAATTGATTTCACGAAGTACCGGTTAGTATTAATGGGATTCCAGCAAATCATAAATCTCAAAGAACAAGCGATGGGCAATTTGAAGTAGTCGGTGATCAATTCGACATCTGAACGGACCACTAGCCCTATACCCCTGTTAACTCGGTGGGGGAACCAAACGTCCGACAAGTATAATAAGCACGTTAGGGGAAAAGGCCAAGTTCTGATGTGATCATGATACCCGCCATCATCCTTGCTATCCACCAACCGAGCAAACTTTCAACATAACCAACCACTCCGGCCAGGGTGAAGATCAGGAGAAAACAGCATGCACACGGGCATTGACGGGAGGGGTCCAGCAAGGGCAAGCGATCAGCTGTTCGTCGGAAGGAGGTCCAGATCAGGTCTTTTTCCTCATCATCGCAGTCCTGCACATTACGTCGGCCGACCCGGACAGACCACCCGCGCAGCCTGTGTTTCGGGGACACCGCATGCACGTCGTAGGTATTTCAATTTCGTAACCGTAGGACACGCTTGCGATGTGACAAGAGGCTTAGCACCATCTGCACGATGCATAGGCTCGGAGATTGAGATGGCACAAAGCTGTTGTCGTAAATGTAAGTGTAATGAGCCCATACAAGATGTTTTTCGTCCGCTGATTAGCGAGTGACCGCGGCGTAGCATTTGACTTAATGCTTCCCAGTAAGCCACAGGATATAAAAGATTAAAGTCGCAGTGATTTTATAAAGCAGGGCTTCCCCATGCTGGTAATGAGGGACATCACCAAAACCCTTTATTCCCTGGAAGACTTTCGGCGCAAGGACAAGGTTATTGAATGGTTAGATTCGTCTTCCAGAAGACATGAGGATGCGATGTCGATCCAGGCCAAGCTGTTCGACTGAGTGCCACCTTTCCTTCCTTTTGGCATTGCCATAATTTTCCGAACTCAAACATGGCACAGGAACCCACGCTCTGGCACTTGACGCTCCCACAGGAACACTATTACGTGAATTGGATGGGGACAGACGTCCATTAACCGCTATTAAGCCGATCCCAGGAATGGCCCCACGAGGAAGCAAGAAAAGCGCACTTACCACATCGATGGCCGAAGGTGACTGGACTGCCATTAAGGTACTAAAGCACCCCACGGGTGCACAAGCGCTCCGTGAAGAATTGCTGAATCCCCAGAAGCGCAGGCAATTGTCCCTTCGACCTCAACGCGAACTGCCGCGTGAACGCTTTCTTCAAGGGTCACAATCGCTTGAAATTGTTTGCAGGCCCCACGTTAAAGAGCAAGAGCGAGCGCTGCGTTGCTAAGCAGCCAACGTTGTTGTGTAAAACACTCCGGTGCCGAAAGTTGATGGGGGGTTTCTACGTTGGACCGGCCGATGCGCACACAGCCAGGCCCTCAAGCAGAGTTTGCACCCCTGCCGAGTGCATCCTCCGAACGCGATGTCTCGTTAGCACCCCTCCCCCTTCTCGCCAGCTGTGCGAGACTGGGCAGGGGGATGCCGTCTCGCTTCTGTGAGTCGGGCGGGTCCAGGCACCGAACATGGGGTGACCCTGAGACTGCCGGCATTAGTTCGCGCAGCCCACGGGCTGGGCTTTACCGTACCGGGGCCATATCGTAGCGTAGCCTTCGGGCTGCGCCATGTCGTATCGTATCATATCGTACCAGGGCCATATCGTAGCGTAGCCTTCGGGCTGCGCCATGTCGCATCGTATCATATCGTATCAGGGCCATATCGTAGCGCAGCCCTCGGGCTGCGCCATGTCGTATCGTATCATTTCGTATCAGGGCCATATCGTAGCGCAGCCTTCGGGCTGCGCCATGATATGGTCCCGGTTCGAAACTCGCGCGGAGAACCCAACGAAAGAAAGGATGTAGGACATCGACCAGAAAAAGTCAGTTCTCAGGGAGTATTACAACGCAGCCGTTGGGATAGGGCTCCACGTGGCAGTGGGGATTCGGTCTCTTGATGTCATGCATGTCATGTCCGGGGCACGAAATGCCGATAGAAAATATCCCGACATCGTCCATCTCAGCAGCGATTAAATATTTGAGGTGAATAGTGACGCGTGTTTGCTCTTCTTCGTCAATCATCCACGGCCTGAAGGGACAGGCGACGCTGATCAGCCGCCGACACGGGGCAACTCATCACGAGGATCACGACATTTCACACACTTGCTCACACCGTACTGAGCTGTCTTAGCTCCCACGCGCACCCAGTCTCATTTTCAAAACCAGACCCACGTGACATCTTTGGTTAACCACTGTCACGTACAGTTCGGAAAGCTGCGAAATGCGGCAACCGTCGCAACACGCCAGTCAAGCACACACAGCACTGCGGCTGTCAGCACCGACCACGTGACCAAGCGTCACTGAAGTGGCAGTGCTGGCGTGGCAGAACGCCTTATGGATTTGACAGGTCCCTCGTAGAGCACTCAGCCACCCTCCCCGCGAGCCGAGGTTAGTTTGACGAAAAGGTCACCAATGATACGGACGCAAAGGTCACCAAGGTCACTTGGGCGAAAAAAGGCACGTCAACCCGAAGAGGAAATAGCTCTCACGAAGGACACAGCTCCCGCAATAACACCTTTCCTGAAAACAACATATATTTCACAGGAACACTGTGATCCTGGTGTTAGTGAAATGTTCAGTAAGAAGACAGCGTTGAAATGGAACAAGGCAATCAGCGTGAACACTACTTAATAACAGCTTCATACTGTAACAACGCCACTTCTGCTGAAAGCGTGGTCCACGTGACCGCACTATCCGCTGCGACGTGACTGCATGAGGTCACACAAACACCCGAGGTCTCTGCGGTACTCGAGCCATTCGCTACGTACCGTCTTAAAGGAGCGCATGGCGAACAGGTTGGCCATCATGGTGGAGAAGCCCGGTGCCAGGCAGCTCTGTGCAATGAAGCCTAGCTTCAGCTCCGCCAAACAAATGACGTCATCGCCGCGCTTCCAGTCCCAGCTGGGAATGTTCAGCAGGTACGCCTGGATCAGAGTTCATGCGTCATATGGCGTAACCATGGCGCCCTCAGTTTAGGAGGTTTGGCGGGTACGCCTGGAACAGGACGGATGCGTCATATGACGTCATTACAGCGCTTCCGATTTCAGCTCGGGAGGTATGGCAAGTACGCCTGGGAGGCGACAGTGACATAATCGGATCTGACGTTTGGTGACGTTATCGGATCTGGCATCTAGTGACAGCATCAGATGCGACACTGGATGGTGGTGTCGGACAGCTCCACAGACAAAATCGGTGGTGAAATTCCGATAGCAATGAATTGAGATACCCAATAACTAACTGCGGTGAAAGATCGAATGACTTCATGAAACTAGAAACCAAGAACAGTGTTAGCCACATACATCTGGTGACGTCTTTGCATAATTTGAAACGACGTCACGATGCATATAGACATAAAGCATCGTCGAATCCAGACACCACACGAAACCAACGGATCGAAATAAAATCTTCAGGTATGAAAAGTACCTCCGTGACACGGGCTACAGCACATGTTGACCATGTTCGAAGTACGACTCAACGGGATTGCCCACGTGCAAGACATGACATCGTAGAAGACACCGCAATATCCACTGACTTCTTTAGATCGCATACATACACCGGCAATGGCCATACGCTTCATGGGCACAGTCCCAGGTTGCCAAAAAACAAAACTTCATCGCAGAGCATATACCGAACGACACTGCGTTATGGGCGAGTTAAGCTGCCTACTCGGTAACGGGATTAGGCATGCATTCTTAAGCTGCCGCAGATAGGCAAGGAATGGTACTGATCACGGGTGAAAGACTTGGGACTTATTTTCGACAAGCATTGGGGAGAGGAGGGGGGGGGGAGGGGAATCCGCCAATCGGGTGAAGGTCGCAGCTCTCCGGTGGCGCCACCTTGTTGTGATACTGCATCAGCTGAATAATGATCCGGATGTCATCGCTGTAGTTCTTGATGGAGATCACGCGCATGATGTTGGCCGCATCTTCTGCGTCAGGATCCTGACAATATTTATTTGCCAGAACCAGACAGGCATCCGCATCGTGGATCTGGAGGTCATGTCCAAGGTCAGCACCAAAGCAACAACAGTGCGTATCAATGCAGAGAACCTACCAGAGGCTTATTCGAGCGAAAATACTTGAACTGCACAAGTGTCACTATAACCCAGCACGTTACTTTGCACGCTGGCAGGTAAAATAGTTCAAAAACATCGAGCTTTAAATACTTATTATTTTTTAAAGCCACAACAAGGTAAGCAATCATCGTAATTTGTTGAGAGGTCAGCAGACAAACAAGAGAAATCAAAGTGCAGTCAAAAACTACAGGACAGGCCGAGCACCCAAAATTCACCAATCAGAAGCAGCCGCAAAGCGATAAAATGCATGCCCTTAATTTGGTCGGGGTTAAAGCTGCCAGCCTGCTGCCTAGAAAAGCTGCCGAAATATAGGCGGATGTTATAGACAATACGAAATGGTGCCTCTATCGCAAAAACAAGCATGCCGTGGCCAAAAAAGGCTTTCATGTCTTGTACGTTCGTGCAAACCGGTGTTCAGAATTAAGATATAAAACGTATTGCAGCTGGTTGAGGGGCAGTGTTGCCTTCACCGGAAGTGCGCAAATAGTTCGTTAACTATTTGGGTAATAGTGTGCGAATGCTTGCGTGGCATTCGGGCTTAACAGTTAGGACAGCAGCAGCCGATGCATAGTACTGAACCCGCTGTAGCTTGGGCTCAAGGGAATAACTTTTGACTGATTCATGTAATCACAACGCGACCTAATGACGACAGCAATTGCTGGGTGGTATGATGGTGGGGATAAAACTGTTTGGAGCCTTTACTGCGACGCATCTCATGGCAGGGATGACGTACTTAAGAGACCATCATCATATGGGACAGCTTTAAGGGAAACGGCTGTGTAATTTACCTTTGTAAAACGGTCAATACCATAGCGTCCATTCGGAACGTATTTCGCTTGTGGTCTGTGAGGGTAGCAAAACATAATTTTACGCTAACATACCACTGTTTAAACATTACTGAATGCAACTGAACAACATGTGTGCGTAGCTCAAACGTGTTAAGTAAGGCGAAAAGCTCGGCAGTCAGTGAAAGGACTAAAAAAAATACGCGAATAGATGTTAAAGCTGATATTACTTGTGGTATCAACTTTATCTTCGAAGCGACATAAAAATACTGATTCTCAAAAGACCAGATGCGCCCTACCAGAGCCATTAGTCTGGGCTCCTGATATTACCCTAAAACCATCTGAATAGAGCACTTTAAGAGGACTGGGCATTGTATGGTGATTAGCTATAACGCAGCTAACGTAGCATAAATCAACAGCAGCATGAAACAACATTTTGATCGGAACTTGTTGGGGAATTGAGGAGAATTTCAAAAGGCTACATATTTTGGTTTGTGTTTACCTTAGCGTCCAAATTTCACAGCATAAATCTGCGTACAGTTATCCACTGCCACTGATCCACATCGGCGCGTTTTCCAGACATTTCCGTCACATGATCTCACTCACTGGCGCTTCAGCAATCTACAGACTAATTTATTCCATTATTTACACAGGGCGCAAATTTCTACGGACATATTTACAGCAGCCGACAGCCCGAGCGTCCGCCACTGGCCGGTGACAGAGGCTCCGCGTCTTGCTTCCGTAGGAGTGCACGCCTCCTGCGAGCCACGTGACCGACGTCGAGACTTCGGCTTAACTAACCTTCACCCTCTGGAGATCAATCGGGTTCATAATGCTCCCTTGAAAGAACTCCACTGTGGTGAAATGCCGCTTGAACAGTCCTTCTAATTCCAAATCAGGAGGCTTTCTGTGCGGGTGAACGAAAATGTCACCGTTAGGGCGGCGCCACCAACGCCGGGCGGCGAACAGGCAGGCAGGCAGGCAGGCGGGTAGGATAAACCGAGGGGTGGCCAATCACCACGGGTTGGGGAAACCCAAGCCAGCTCTCCCACCACAGGCTAGCCACAACCGGCATAGGCCGCGGCCGCATGGGTGCAGGCCCACGCCACATGCACTTCCAAAAAAGCCGCGCTTGGAGAGTGCAAACACAACACCAGATGGTTTGGGTTTTCCCCCACGCTCGGCATTGCCGTGCGCCATTGGGGTTTCCCTCGCTCGACATGCTGGCAGAAGGTGTGAGGCTGTGAGTCAATCAGAGCCCAGAATCTGCTGCTCTCCGACCCCTCCTGTGCAGAGCAGCTATCTCTGCTGTCCGCACCAGCAACAACCCACAGCCGTTAAAACCACCACCGGCGGGGTCGTACGAAAGGTGATGTCATTCATGGAGGAAAATGACGTTCTCTGGTAGGCAGGCTGTCGATTTCGGCGGTCTGCTTTTCCGAGCTGGTAAATGGGACTTTTGCGAATCTGTGTATGCAGTAACAGTCGTGCCCATAATTGAAACTGGATTGCTTAGATGATCGTGCATTGACATTGTTTCGCCAGTCGCATAGAGTGTGGACACAAGCAAAAGCTTCATGAAAAGTGGTGTCCGTTGTGCCTAGTTAGAAGAAGTACTGAAGATGTAAAAAACTGAGTCATATGGGGTGGGTGTCTTTTATAATGCGCGTGACAAGACAGTCCTCATGTGGGTTTATCATTAGTTGTCAATTGCCACGTACGAGTAGCGCGCTATCAACATGCGTTGTTACTAAAAGTCGGATAGAGATGGTTGCATGGTAATCAGACATACCGAAAGGATGTCACGAGTACCGAAAACGTGGTAGAAAATGTCATTTTGGCGGAGCAGTTTTATCAACTTCAGCGCATGTTGTCTGACCATTGCAGGCCCTCTTAAGGACATTCAAGGAGTTGTTAGGTGAAGGCATTACAGTGCAGGCGAGGTCTGATTTATGTAAATGTGCGTGTACGTATTGGGCCATTCTTTTGATGTGATATGAAACGGACTATGTCGTTTCCTACGCCTGGCCTGCCAGCGGTCGGACTTGCTAACAAGCTATACTCTAGACTCTAGACTAGACCCCTTTTTACATGTTCTTTCCTTTAAAACCACATGACGGAAAAGGTACAAACGGCCACAAGCCGAAAACTTACCGACATGCTAGCCTTAAGCTTCAACATAGTAAACATCTGTTATAGTTGTTGACTGCTTTCGTGCGTTGCGGCAGGACTACGAGACCTGTGCGATAACCATCCCAGAATTGGCTGAACGCAGTGTAAGCAATCTAGTCCTCAGCTATAAGGCCTCGATTTCCGAAAAAAATCGCAGCAGTTTAGAAAATTCTCGAACGATACCGAAGGTTCTAATAACGAAGAAGAGCAGATACCTTTATTCGGCGCAGATCATTTGGGTTCATGATTGAGCCGACAAAGTAGTTGACACAGTGGAAGTGACGAAGCAGCAGATGTTCTAGTCTCAAATCAGGCTCAGCGCTAAAATATGAGAAAATGATACGCGCATTGAAGCACTTTTCGACGAACACAAAAAAAGACAACAAAACGAACAAATACAGAAGACAAAAAGTCAAAGCATACATAAAGGAAAACATAATGACAAAACAAACAAAGAATATGCTCCCGTCTTCTAAATCCCAAATGTAAAGAAAAAAAGACAGAAAGAGGGACAACAAAACGAGTCCCGGAAGATGTGCGTCAAAAACGGAAAACGAAGCTCCTTCGTCCATGCTTGCCAATATGTACTGGCATGCAGCCGCTGACCACCAAAACACACCGCTGTTAGACGGACAACGCGGGGAGGCGGACGAGCCACAAGCCGCACTAACCAGCGGGACTGTAAAGCCATCTCATCGTCCCAGCTCCGATTGGGTCGGGTCAAAATGGTCAGTCGGCACGCACACACGAGGACGCAGCCTCTGTCGGGGCCATCACCGGTGGGCGGTCTACTCAACGAGAAAATCGAAAACCGCTGGCGGGTCGGTCCGCGGGGTAACGGCCACCACTGTCAGACGTGGCTCGGGTGCACTTCAAACGACATGTCGTGCTGTGTAAACAATATGGGAGGGAGAGACCATGCGGGCGACCGACGGTGGCTGCGCCGGCAGAGTTACCTTCACCCTAGCCAGGTCAATGGCGGACATAATAGACCCCTGGTAAAACTGAACGGCAGTGAAATGCCGCTTTAAAAGTCCTTCCAACTCCAGATCGGGCTCGTCTCTGAAAGGTGGCCCCGTGACGTCATATGACGCGGCGTCACGTCACTGGTCGTCAGGCGCGCCGGCAGGGCAGCCCGATGGGCGTGAGTGGGCTTGCTTTTGTCCAGCGGATTCAGCAGGGCTAGAATTTGTTGAAGAGATGGGGAGCATTCCTTGACAAAACGTGTGGTCCAGTGCGTCTCGTATCAAGCTTGTCTAATGCGGATATCAGCTAACCATCTCTAGCCCCTGGGGCCAAAGTGGCAGGGCACCATGCACCCTGTGGAAATGGACCAATACTATGAGCAAAGCAAAACGATTAGGCATTAGCTTAAGGTGAATGGCAACAGCGCATATTGATACCTATCAAGTACCCGAACTGGACATGGCAGTACTTGACATTGCCTTGCAGCAAAATGACCGAATTCTTCGCGAAATCCTCCATTTGTAAAATTTCGTGTGTCCCAAGCTTATTGACGCTTTCGTATGCGCACTGCTTTCAGGAGGGTTCCGCGAGCATTTGTCTGCTACGCGCAGCCTTAAACCCCCGAGACACAGTCTTAAAACCGCGGGACACAGTCTCAGACCCGGAGGGCATATCCAGGACAAGAGCAAACGCCAGTCAGCAGACCCATCGGGCTGACCTGACAGCACAGAGATAAGCTGAACAGCGTCAGAGGTGACGGGTGATGTGAAAGCGACAGCGAGAGAAAAGGTCAGTTGTTCCAAAGAGCACGCCAAGGCACACACGGGCAGAAACCGGAGCAAGCTTGCACGAACTGGCACAGCCCGGCACACACTCCTGACAGGGCGCAGCGGCTGCCCAGTGCACAGCTGCAGTGTTTGAGCTGAACACGGTGAGTGCGACAGAAGTGGTCCCAGTGACGTAGTGAAACAGAAACGAGCCACGAAAATGAGCCGTGAGACACGCATGATGGCAGCGATGAGTCAAAGAGCAAGTCACACACTGATGCGCATAGCCATTAATACAATGCATCGATCGTTGCGAAAATGTAGCTCACGGGTCAGGAACGCCACGAGGACGAGAAAAGGAGAGGTGACCCGCTCACGCGTCAGGAACGGTACGAGGACGAGGGAAGGTGTGGTGACACGCTCACGCGTCAGGAACGGCACGAGGACGAGGGAAGGTGTGGTGACATGCTCACACGTCAGGAACGGCACGAGGACGAGGGAAGGCGGGGCGACACGATCACGCGTCAGGAACGGCACGAGGACGAGGGAAGGCGTGGTGACACGCTCACGCGTCGGGAACGACACCAGGACTAGAAAACATATAACCCTGTTCCGTTCATGGTATTCAGTACGTGAGCCAAGATGCATGCCGTCATGAAAATGCCTGCATGGATATTATTTTATCACACCCATTGTCATCATGTCGGAATACAGCTGCTCCATTCCGACAGTTTTTCTGATTTCATGCTACGAGTTCTGGGTCTTTAAAGGAATAGCTTTCGATACGTTAAGTAAGCCCGTGAATCAAAAGCGCGATCTCAGAAGCTCATTAGAGCAGTCTCAGTCCGATGGGAATGGCATGTCTCCAAATTTTACCAGATGGCATTGAATGACTTTTACCGTGCTATGCTACAACACGCTCGGCCCAGACCTACCAGGCTAACCAAGACCATAGCCCCACCACTTAAGTCTCAATGTACGGGAGGGGGGGGGGGGGGCTGAACGCCATGTGTGTAATCACCGCGGGGGCCGGGGAAAACGCGAACCCTCAATTTTCCCAGACTGGGTTTTTGACCCTCCGCCAATGTTTCGCATGAAATACACGCTTTTCACGTTGGCACATTCCAGATGTTATTTTCAGGTCAGATTGTCCAAACCACAACCCAGTGTAATCCCCCACCCCAATCCTGGTTGGTCTATTCCTTTCACAATATCGGCGACGTGCTTACACCCATGCTGAACGGGGAAAATCACTCAAACTACGCCGAAAAATGTCAAAAGGGGACATCTCTCCGTATCGTGGCCCACCATCACCTCAGAATTTTGGGAGGAGGCTGGAGACCCCAACTGAACGGGAACTACATCATTGGTCGAACCTTTCTGGTCAGCTGTCAATTAACCTTCAACGAGGGCTCGCACCCGCGCAATTTTCTGAGATGCTAGCCCGCATGTGTGCTGCAAGGCAGCGTCGTGTCCATCACGCCCTTGCATCGCGTCCATCCCGCCCCAGCGGCATGTTCATCCCGTCCCGAATGAGCTCCGGGACGGCTGAGCAGTGCCTTCTCTTTGTTCAATTATGGAACAAATTTAAGGAATTCTTGGAAGAATTATTCCGTTTTGCTATTACGGAAGTTGTGTTAAGCACGCTACGATTAGAATAAAGCTTTGGCAACGCAAGGTCTCATACCGCTGATCCCATAATACCTCATATCTGCCCGAACGGGGGAGGAGAAGGGGCGGATGAAAAGAACAAGCCCACCAACTTCGTGGGAAATTAACATGATCCATATTGCTTTGTGAGGGGAGGAGGATAGCCTGAATTGCTAGGATATCCCAAGCCTGCGGCTAATGATGAAGAGCGCAATAAATAATCCCACTCAATATATGGAATATCGCACAAACATGGCAACGCGAACACAAAGACCGTCTTCACTGCCAATGCTGAGCCTTGTTCTAATCTTGTGGGCTGGTCTCGCAGCTGCTGTCCAATCATCTGCTCACGTTTTACAGATTGTTATCCACTAATCAAGCAAACACCCCGTGGGTCGGCCGGCCAAGTGACGTGCCTGCAATGTCGCGTGACCAATAGCGTTCAAAAACCGACCGGAGTTGTGCCGGTGCGTCGACCAATCAGCGAGTGCTATCCCGGTGTGCGTGAAAACCAGTGACGTCACTTCTAGAAAAAGACGAGGCCAGGCCACCACTGCGGAAAGGCGAGCCTTTGCTGTCAGGGGTACTGCAGTTCCTGGGTGGGGAAGCCGTGGAATGCTCTCCATGCTTGTCAAGTGATCGCGCTGGATATGACTTTGAAACCCCGTTGCAATGTGGAGTGCTGCTCTTGTATAAATTTAGGTCAGTGAGCAAACCCCGTATGTGAATTATTATGTTGAGACGTATACAAAGTTTTAAAAAAATTATCAGCGAGCTTATTTATACCGATGAAAGAAGTGAGTGGCCTAAGAAAGCCTCGATGGAAACATTGCCAGAGAGAAACTGAAGGGCCAAGTTGTGAAAAACACAATTTTGAATTCAGTTGCAGAAGGTAAAAACATTCCAAACTGGTCCCAAGCTCTTTCCACGATGACTTCCAAGCCTCTGACCATGATAGCAAGACGGGGCCCGGCCGTAGTGGTGACTTGGCTGGACCCCGAGACCTGACCTGGACCCGCTCCAGGTCATACGCCGACATCATGGTGCCACGAAAGAACCGGACGTCGGTCACGTTTCGCTTTAGTACCCCCTGCAGTTCGAGGTCCGGCTCCTGCCTACATAGTCACGGGCGTTACAGGCCGAGTCGCGAGTCATCGAGTCGTGCGCTAAGGCGGTGAGGGGAACGGACTTGAGAGTCGCAGGCAAAGCAGCTCTTCGCCGGTTGGCGCTGGTTCCCGGCACACTGCTCAGCGCGTGGCAGGATATGCCAAACCCGGCCCGCCAGGGAAGGGCCTGCATCAGTGTAGTTATATTTATGAATTATTCCTGACAAGTGGGTCGAATGCCTGATTCGGGTCTATTACGATGGAGCAATAGTGCCACATAGCGCTGCAGAAAGAAGTAAATACGACAACTACGACAAGAAGCACGTCAGGGTGCATCAGATCGGGCGGAGAGTTCTTGGGCTCGAACCCCGCGACTTTCGAACATTACGCAGGACGGGGGGTGATTCCTTATGTTGGCCAAATACATCAAAGCTTAGCTGGTGGATGGAGAAACCATTCACACTTCCGAATTTTTATTCAGAGAAAAGTTCCTGCAGTCCGATGTATCTTGTACGTCTCGACCATACCAAAGGCATGGCTAATTTGAATGCCCCGCGGTGCCGAAGATTGTGACAGTGCAGAGAACAGTGAGCTAAACGAGTGGATATGTGTTAATGATACTGTAAGCAAAGCTTGACTTCAGCAAAGCAAAGCTCAGGTTCCTAGTTTTTCAGCACAGGGTTCTTGAGCCGAAAACAATAGATTCTCGATATATCGAGAAATACTGGGCAGACGAATTACCAATATCCCGTCATATTGAAAAACGGTTATTTTCAGGATGAAAACTGTTGCTGTCTGTCAACCATTGTGATAAAAGAGCCTTGTTCTGTGAAGTGAGTACGACCTAAGTGAGCACAAGTAGTGAGCGAGCCTTTGCATTCATTGCTTTGGACTCATCGCGCCATACTCCGCTGCATATTTCACCAGTGCTTGGGTGTCTGAATAAATCATTTTCACGGAACTGAGAGACTGCACAGGTAACTGCTGTAGGTGGAAAGATGTACACAGAGGAATCGATCATACTGCCACAAAATAGCAGCAAGGTCTGGATGCAGGTTCTCCTGTAAAACATCTCTGAAAACAGCCATGGGCGCTGTAAATATCGTAGTTATGTCAAGAAATGAACGTTCAAGATTGTAACATCGTGGTTTCACAATTCAAGAGCAGAAAGAGCAGTGGAGCAGAAATACACAATTTACGTGAGGAAAATGGTACAAAACAGTGGGTGTCGTATTTTGAATCAAATGCACTGCAAGACAAAGATGTACCTAGAAAGACTTCATGTACCTGAGGGAAACACGACAGCCACACAAATGGAGTAGACAAGACACACAAATAGCATACACTTTGCCCATCTATAAATACATCGCCGACCTGTGTAGAAATAACGGGCTTTCCTGTGTACAAACACACGTTTCCTTTGCAAAAGCACACAAAATGTCTGGGAAGAACAAATTATCTCTTAATAACATCTAATTGCACCGGGGCAGGCCGTATGAGTGAGCACACGGTTCATTCGTGTAGATAAGTACACTTTCCATGCGCATAATTACCCAATTATTTACAACAGAAGCACCTAGTTTACCTGTGAAGGAAGACTACCTCCACGTCCACGTCCTCCCGGTCCTCATGCAGAAAGTCCTTGAGGAAGTGTGAGACAGACTCGTAGGTGATGTGGCCGCATACCACGATGTGTCTGTGGGACCAGTGACGTCAGATCAGCCGCGCCACGATCGCCGCGTCACTGAGGGGGGCGCCAAGATCGCCGCACACCAGCACCGGACGGCGACCGAAACAGTCAGGAGGAAGCTCACCTGGAGCACACAGCTTGCAGTGGAAAACGGATAGCGTTTACTGATGAACATGTAGCTTACTGAAAAGCATGCGTAAATTTATCTCAGCTCATTTCATGGACTTTAATAAGTTGAATTCAAGCTGCGGTAATTACCAACAATACCATTTTCCACACAGTTTGGTACGGAAGTTCTGGAATACCGGGCAGCGAACAGGTTAGACTGCTATATCAGCATGTGCTCTGCTGAGGAACACCGTATATCGCAGCTTGAACACATACCTTTTCATCTGCCGTTTTGAAAGTGACTCAAAGAGTGAAACTTCACAGGTACATTGAAGGCATACTTGCAGCGTTAGGAATAAAAGACTTGACATAGAGCACATATGTTTTAGCACAAACACAAAGACATTGTTCTTACCGGATAGTGCCCCAAGATCTCACCAGGAGCGCAAGGGTCCGAGCAAGGCAACACAAAACTATATGGAAGCATGATGATTTTTAAATAGACCCTTTGCAGCTTTAGAACCTGCAATGATTCTATAACTCTAAGTACTCGCAGTTAATGTGAGCATTCTGATTTTACTCTGCATTGTGATGTTTGTAAATGCAAAACCTTGACGAATGTATCGACGTGCGCTGTAAAAGCAGCGCTGAACCGCATTCCTGGCAATTACATACAAAGAGACTTGTATATTCTTGAGATTTAACATATGATAGCACTTACGCACACTTACGCACGTATCGTCGCGCGCACACACACACATGCCGGCATGCACTGCAGCAGCAGACATGCAGCAGCTGGCACCGAAACTGCATCCCGGAAAGCAGAACTCTACAAGGGTAACATTACAGACCGCTGGCTACTTCAGCTCGTGAATTCCTAGGTACCCAGGATGTCGAAAAATCCGTATTTATTGCACATCGGAAACATGTTCACACGAATAGCTATGAAGTTATACACTAAATAATCCGAACAACGGTAAATCTTTCATTCTCTTATTAGACATTAGCATTGACGTGACCAATGTATGCAGTGATAACAGCTCGTTTAAGCAAGAATCTTATATCTCTTGGCACTCTGCTTTGCTTGACGGTGGTTTAGCATTGCACAAAATGAGCCTGTGTAGGAGTAGTTCTGACTGGCCTAGACACGCTTCTTAATACAATTTTTTTCGAACCATGCATGCAAAAATTGGTAACATGCGACACCTAAAAAAGCGCATGCAACATGTTGCAAAACATCGCAAACAAAATGGCGCCTGGGGCTGTTTTGAGCAAACCGTCCAACATTGCAATTTCTCCCGCAAATGCGAAGGAAAATTCGCTGTGGACTGCTCTTTATTTAGATTACTGGCGAGAATGAACAGAAGAAGGTCCGGACATTGATCCTAATGTCCTTCGGCGCAGGAATAAGGCCCAATACATAGGTCTCGGCAATCATGCACCATTTTGCAAAACAAGGTTCAAACCACAGTTTAATCGCCCAAAACATTTATAAAAGATTGGCCAGTTTTTAGGCGTCCGCTTGTCAAAAAACTGAGTCAGGTGACGTTAAAAGAACATCATGACATACCAGTCAGCTCTCCTTTGGGGCCACGAGCATCTACATGGCTCAGGCAGAAGGACCCGTTCATAAATGTCGGCTCAAAGTGGAGGCACCAAACGCCATTTGGTTTTGATGTCACCTACCTCCGTCCTCGTTCGTTCTTCAATGTACCTCCATACTTTGACCTGTTGCCGACCAGGTCAATAATTTCGGGGATACAGCTCGCGAATATTGCCTAAAGTGCCGAAAAAGATGACCAGGTAAGAAAAACGCATCCCAGGCACTAGGCTAGTCGGGCAAATGACCTTGGACATCACTAAAGGTCATGGGCGAAAGTGGACAACGGTCCCGCGCGGGGAGATGCTTGCTACTTTTTATGTTCGCATCAGCTGGTGAAACCCCAAACCTGCTCCGGACCATTGTCCCCTTTCGTGACCTCATGCTGGACGCGACCTTGGCACTATAGGGCAACTCGCTAGGCACGCCATCTATGGAGCATTTTCGGTACCTCTTGCCGGATTGTCGTGTTCCGCCATATTTCGGCCTATTTCCAACGATCTCTGTGATTTCGGGAATCCAAGAAGCAAACACCGCCTGCCGACAACAGAGAACCCAATGTGTACGTGTGTGAAAAGAGAAAGAGAGTGATCAGAAACGGTGCAAACCAAAAAAGGCTAATAACCAGCTGACAGAAACAAGCGACAACGGAATGAAAGAGCAAAGAGCGCACTTAAGCCGATATCTGTAGCATGCTCATCCAACCGGCCAGAGATCCTGCCGTTTGGCGGAGCTGATGCAAATCTCTAATGCATGCACGAGCGAAACAGCGGAATTATGATGGAATGCTTCCGAACCGACAACTAGAAGGTGGAAGTCGAAAGCCATTACGAGCAAATTCCATTGTGCATCTGTGAAGAAGCGTGGAGAACGGCGGTGTGGCAGGTTCCACCCGACTTCTGTTCTCTGTGCCGGTTGCATGAGCATAAGAGCCCTCGGGTGGGGCGTTTGACCTTGAAGTCGGTGCAAAACAGCGGTGCTCACGTCTAACATGATCGGCTGGCCCACACAGAAGCGCACCCCAACAACCACACACCGAGCTCACCGGCCACGGCTGGAACTGTTAGTTCATCAAACACTGGATAGGTGGCGTTACCTCTTTCCATGCTCCCGCTTGTAACAGCCTGCGTACTTTGATCTCCGTCCAAGGATTTCGAACATTTCTGGTATGCTTGAGGCAAAAAGGGCCTGGTAGGGAAAAACAAGCACAACGTATGAATGGAAGGAGCTGGAAACCAATCATTGCCGAATAATGGCAGGAGCTCCACTACTCAGGATTAGCGATTCTACGGTAGTCAGCAGCGCTACGAATGTCATGGCTGTCGAAACGTAAACACACGAGAAGAATTCATGATGGTGCAAATGGAAACTGAGTAAAAAAGCAGACAAGGGACAAGGGTCCCAAAGTTTAAGGCTGCCAGATGTAGACGCGTGGCTGGGAAGGTTGAGAATGTCCCAATACGTAATATGTTTATTCCTATGCCGTTTGGGCGCAGCAAGACCAGATATTCTGGCGCCACGGTAGTTGTATTGTGTTTGAGTGTTCTGGTAGCCAAATTGTCGCTCAACAAGCCCTAACATGTCGATGATACTGTCCGCTGGCAAGCGTTGTCGGCGGAATATTAGATAAAGAATTGTGCAAAATCTTCACAACAGAGGGCGATATCTACACTGTATGTGCATGTTGTAGATCATTCAGCGCCCAAAGCGGTATCCCGCGCGTAAGCCTCACATATGTGCGCGAATGGTCATGCTCACGCATCGCAAAATGGCATCAGCAATCAGCATTTACCCCGATCCGCTCACCCTGATGGACCTGCCAGTGTAAACTGTTCGGTGAAAAGCGCGTCGAAATGTCGTACTAATGTGGGCCAGCAAACATTTTCCATTCTCGTTGTGTCCGAGAGCGGCGCGATGTCGCTGCAAGCGCGGCGTACAGCGGACTTGGGTCGGGAGAGAAGACTTCCCCCAAGCGAATAACTCACTTAAGCGTGGACTTTCCGGCAAGAGGTGCCAAGCGGAAACATAGAAAGTGATTCCGAGTCAAGCGGGTCACCCAATTGACCTAAAATGATGCCAAGGTCATGCACAATACGTCACACGTGCGCACACACACGCACACACTTCAGTCCATCTTGACCATGACGCACATATTCACACCGAACACTGTGGCTGCCGAAAAGTAATGGAGCGGCAACGAAAGCCTTGCAATTTAAGCAGGCGCATTTCCGATTCCAGGGGCAGACGTTATTGAGAGGTGAGAGGTGAGAACAAACCAGCGTTAAGGCGATAAAACAAGTGGTCGGCACCCTCCCGCACAGCATGGGCGCCGCCAAACCACGGTCACAAAGCTTCACCGCAGGCACCAGAACACAGCGTCCCTCCCTCGCGCAAATGCCTGCTAAGCCCCCCCCCCCCCCCGCCCCCTCCCCCGCGCCCCGCCCCTGCCAACACACATCATCGAGCTGGCGAAAGCTGATCATTCACGTGTCAGCAAACGTGTGGGCAGCACACAAGTCCAGCGGCTGTGCGAGGAACAGAGTTCCTCGACGAACCACATCATGGGTGGCAAGCGATGTGCCCCAGGTGGTCCCCATGTGCCGTCCCCATGTGCGGTCCCCACATGCGTGCGGTGCGCACTCGCTGCCGGCAGCCGCCTGTCGCCGATGGCGCAACGGCGATGAACGGAAGCATGCGGTTCCGGCCAAGCAGCAGCGCCTGTTTGCTATGTGAAGCGAGTTGACTTTCAAACTGTTTGCCTTCGCCCGTGTTTGATGATTTGGTGGTTGCTCTTCGTTTAAAAGAATAACAAAAGAACCCACAGTAAGGGACGAGCGTCGTGTCCAAGTGACGATGACTAATCATTTCGTGAAGCGTCATCATACATACGCATGCCGAATGATTGTGTCAGTCAGGCAGGATCAGTAGAGCAGCCGTTTTCGATATCACGCATAAGGTTACGGTGGCGTGAGGTTACGGTGGCATAAGGTTACGCTGGCATAAGGCTACGCTGGCATGGGATTACGCTGGCATAATTTACGATGGCATAAGGTTACGCTGGCATAAGGTTACGCTGGCATAACGTCACGCACTTCACCCGAAAACAGCATTGGCGTTTCAGAAATGGTCGCAACGCGACCATTACCGGCATTTTCTGTTTGAGGTTGCCTTACCAGATCATTGCAGTCTTCGTGGTTCTATGGTCCCACCCTGGCAGCCCAAACTCTACCCCGAATTTCGAGCTGACGGCTCCAATGTCAATCCCTATTGACAGGTCATAACTGCACTCTCACAGTTCTAAACCCCATAAATGCATAATTCATAATCCACCTTTAGAGGCCTGTGCACCGACACCCCACACAATGCGCTGAATTTCACATTCTCCCCTCAGCCTGCCCTCAGCTGTTCCCCAGCCCTACAGGCCACGGCCTGCCCCTCAGCTGTTCCCCAGTCCTACAGGCCACGGCCTGCCCTCAGCTGTTCCCCAGTCCTACAGGCCATAGTCTGCCCCTCAGCTGTTCCCCAGTCCCACAGGCTACAGCCTGCCCTCAGCCGTTCCCCAGTCCCACAGGCCACAGCCTGTCCCTCAGCTGTTCCCCAGTCCTACAGACCACAGCCTGTCCCTCAGCTGTTCCCCAGTCCTACAGGCCACAGCCTGCCCTCAGCTGTTCCCCGTTCCCACAGGCTACAGTCTGCCCCCCAGCTGTTCCTCAGTCCTACAGGCTACAGCCTGTCCCTCAGCTGTTCCCCGGTCCCACAGGCTACAGCCTGTCCCTCAGCTGTTCCCCGTTCCCACAGGCTACAGCCTGCCCCTCAGCTGTTCCTTAGTCCCACAGGCTACGACCTGCCCCTCGGCTGTTCCTTAGTCCCACAGACCACGGCCTGTCTCTCAGCTGTACCTCAGTCCTACAGACCACAGCCTGCCCCTCAGCTGCACCTCAGTCCCACAGGTTACAGCCTGCCCTCAGCTGTACACTCCTCCTGCGACGTTCCTCGCATCCCTGATACCTCCTCCCTCCCTTTCAGCTCTTCAGCCATCACCTCAAGTCTCGCACCCCGCCTGACTGTTCGATGTCTGTCCCGTCGGCTCCGGCCCCGGGAACCCCCTTGTTCGTCCCGTCCGCTCCAGCTCCGGGTCCCTCTTTGTCCGTCCCGTCGGCTCCAGCTCCGGGTCCCTCTTTGTCCGTCCCGTCGGCTCCAGCTCCGGGTCCCTCTTTGTCCGTCCCGTCGGCTCCAGCTCCGGGTCCCCTATCGTCGCGGCACCAGGACGGCACTGGCCAGCCTGCATATAAACAACGGCTTTTGTACCTCGTCCAACACTGGTCTGCTGCCTTCCGGGGTCCAGAGGCGAAGGAAGACCACAGGCACTCCCACACCGACACATGGGTTAGGGGGGAGGGTAACGGGGCACTCCAGGAATGTGTCGTGCGTCGTGAGGAACAAAGCCATTGGGGCGTGCCGGATTCGAAAGGTCTTCAGTATGCGGCTAGCATTTTGCGGTTAGGGAGCTGAGCAGAGCAGCGGCCGTGATGGCAGCGATAGCCGCGGCATCAGCGATTTACTGCCTCAGCCAATCTCCTCAAGCCAGCTGTTAACCCCCCCCCCCCCCCCCCCCCCTCCAGGGCCGGGATTTCACTGCTATCTAGGCCAGGTCCCACGAACACTACAGGCGGAACCAGGAACGTCCAGAAGGGGCTCATACATTTTTTTTAGAGAGAGAACGCAATGCACTTCGTAAGGCATCCTCCCGAGCAGCGTCAGTGACTGCAGATGCCACGTCATCGCTCAGGAGGCACGACGCGACCGGGGTTTTCGGACCCCGTGCGTGGGAGCCGAGGGCGCTCACCACTCGGCCATTTCGCCCCTGGGGACCCAGACGGTGGCCCACGGCTGTCAGTGGACCACAGCAGTAAAATATGATGTTGTAAATCCAAACACGGATGCAGTCGGCGTCTCACTGCGATTTAAGTAAAATAATATCACCATGCCCCGAAAAAACGCATAGCAGGCTGCTGGAAGCCTACTGCCTACGAAGTCCTCGATACCTACGCTCTACAAACTCACAAACACTCCGACTGCCTATATACCAATATGTCCCTTGCTATCACTCTCAGAGCCGGGTGCGGTTGAGCCCGTGTTTACTACCCACGTGCTTCTCAGTGGTCTGCGGCACACTGTCGATGAGGGTTTGCACTATGCACTCGCAGGTGACACATGCGCACGTGACTGTCGCTGAATTCACTTAGTACCAGTCCTTAGTACCCTCTTGGCACACCACTTAGTACTCTTGTTAAGGCCTCTTAATACAGCAAACTGTGTACTTCCCCAAGTGAATCCCCAAACTTCTCGCCGTGCGCTTCCAGCCTATACCCTGGCGTTCAGGTCATCGAGATCCCCAGTGAAACATGATACTACGTTGATTGCATTTGGCATTGCTAACGACCCAAGCGGCAGTGGTGGCACTCACCAATCCGACCAGCAGGAAGAAAACTAGGAACGTCCTGCCCAGCACCGTCTTGCAGAAGACGTCACCGTAGCCGACCGTAGACATGGTGACGATCAAGAAGTAGACGCAGGTCCAGTAGCTCAGCTGCTGAGGGTTGTCGAACTCCAGCGGGTCACCCGAGTTCTCCAGCTGAGGATGTCGGCATCGTCATCATCCTTGCCAGCAACGTGATTGTCACCAGCGTTATCACCGTCAATCAATATCATCGTCACTATCATTTTTAGAAGCACTAACATCAGCATTGGTGGCATTCTCGTAATATCGTTATCACTATTCAAATCATTAAGTCATTTTTTATCCAAGTCATCGTTCGACCAAGCAGCATTGTGAATAAGAGTAGCTCTTGGTGATCTGTGTGTGCCATCCCTTTAGAATGCGGTGAAAACGAGCTTGGTTTTGTACAAACAAAAATAGCACATCCAACAAAGCGTTTTTGGTGGTAGCACGCGATTCTGCAACATGTGACGTTCACGCAAGGTAACTTCACTCCTTGAAAACTGGTGTCTCACTTCACTCCTGTAAACTCGTTCCGTCCTGCAATGACGTCATCTCTGGCGCCACCAACCGCGCTTGATGCATCTCCGCAGCGCATTGGCCGCAACATATCCTACTCCGCCGGGGTGGCCTGATCGTTCCCAGCACCTTTCCCAACCAACAAATTTCTAGTTCTACCCAGCGACGCCAGGTTTCGCGGTCGGCAAAGCCGCCGTGACGTCACTGTTACCAGATGGATGGTGCCGGCGCCGGTGAGCCAGACGGCGATGAAGATGGAGCAGAGTTGCGCCAGCCGGATGGAGCTGGACGTCTTCAAGATGTTGAGGTACTGCAGGATGTCCGGCACCGTCATCAGACGCAGCGCGCGTAGGAAACGCAGTCCTGTGGCAGCCGGGTGTTCAACAGGGTCAGCATGCTCTTGTTCAGACTGCACTGTTTCAGACCACGCCATGCCAGCCACGTGCATGTCCAACGTGCGTGCGTTCAACTCCTTATATTCGACGTGCATGCGCTAGAAGCGTCCACATTTGAACATCTCCATGTGGTGCGTGTGAAATGGCCCAACTTCAACACGTTCATCAACAGATCAAAAGCAGGCTCAGGATCATAATCAGGTTCATTATGAGATGAGCTATAGAACCGGCTCATTCTAACATGTTCTGTGCGCTGATAGGCGTTTTTTTAGCCATTGCTGCTTAACGCGGACCAGAAAGGCAGGCGTGAGCCAAAGGAGCACATTACCAGGGGCTCCAGACCCCCCCCCCCCCTCTCCCTCTTCCTTTTTCAGAGTCGAGTTGGTCTAATCCGCTTTTAACATATCTTGAAGGCAGGTGCAGTCATTTTTGCGGGAGAGACCCACGAACTTAATTTGCGGAACTATATCCGTGAGCGATGATAGCCCCGCGCGATAGGGTAAGTGGGTTCGACACAATAATACGTTAATTAATGCGCAGTCAGGTAGTGTGTATATCGACAAGGAAACAAATCAGACTGCGCGCCCAACAATAGCTGCAGGCATGAAGCTTTCACATTTGTACCGATATCAAAACGTAGTTGGGCTGTAACGTGCTGTTAAGTTGTTTCCGTAAAGTTTTTAACCATCACCGCCTCCTCTTCTTCATTGCTAGCAGCTGGCAGCAAGCTGTACTGAATATTCGTGTTCTGCAACCGAACTTTTGATAGTTCGACTGCCACTCATTGAAAAATTGGAGAAGGCACTCCCAAGTTAAACATTTAACACTAGGGCATACATACACAAACCCATATATATATATATATATATATATATATATATATATATATATATACATACACTATTCTTGCGTTTTTCGACATGCCTTTACTAGAATATCTTATAGGATGTTCCAGCTGTGACTGACCGACTTGCGTCGGCCTTACCCAAGGATATAGAAATCAGAACAAGAACGGACAGCAACGGAAAATAACAGAAAATAATGGATGATAACGGACAATGATGGACAAAAACCGGACAATAACGGACAGGAAAACCAAAGACAATAAGGAACTTACCTATCCAGGTCCTGTTCAGGTAGATAGAGACGAACGACGGTGGAATTGTGAAATAGTCCACGAAGGAGTACATCTCCAGCATGAACCACAACTTGTCGCTCGCTGCTATGAACTGGAACACAATGCATGAATGTTATAACCCGACGAACTGACAATTTGTGATGATAATCGCAACAGACACTTATCACGCGCCGGTCATGAGAAGTCCGGGCATACCTGCGGCAGCCGTGTGCGCCAGTTTCAGAACCATTGTGGGGGCGTGAGATCCGGACGTGAGACCGAACGCACAAGCGGGTCAGCCGTCTGCGCGGTAGACATCAGTGCAGACATGCTTAAAATCTCACAGCTGTCCGCGATGCATACTGATTCAGGACGCGGGCTCAGAAAGTGCCCGGTGTGCGGCTGTGTTTCCGTGGTGGCGGATGTGAGTGTCGTCAATGTTGCCATGGATACCCACGCCACGCTACAGCGTATTCACGCGCCAGCTGACAACTCGACTTGCGGTGTTGCTGCTCTGGGATCTCAAGGCTGAATAGATCTAGAGATAAGTGGAATACGGTTGACAACTCTGCCGTCTGAGCAGGGATGGCTGAGTGATGTCTGATCAGTCTTGGCGATATTCAGGTAGGTTACGTTGAATACTAGGTCCAGATCAAAATACTGATCTGTTCTTAACGTACTTTATGTTGCGTGTGACTTGCCCCAACAACGTTTATTACAGTAGCATGTTCTGGAAGCATTGAGGTGGTCGTTGAAATCAAAGTGAAGTACCGGTCTGCGTAGAAGTACTGAGCGAACTGCGACTTAACTACAACTTAACAACTGCAACTTAAATTACGTCGCCATGGCATTTGCCTATGGCAACCTTTGACATAGGTAGTACTCACACGCCAGACAGTAACACTGTGGACCGGGAGCGGATTCATAACAGACAGTCCCCTTTCTAGAACGCGAATAACACATGAGGAGGAGAAGGGACAAACAGTAGTAAAAAATCACTGACATATGATGGCTTTGGTGTAAAAATTACGTTGTAGATTGCTGAGCGGCATGTAACCGACTTTTACGATTTTATATCACATGTAAATGATGGCCAAAGTTGATGATCTGTGTAGGTCAGTGGGATAGGTCTTTACTTCTTATACAACTGACTGAGACAGTAAAAGTCGTCGCTGGTGACTTCTCCACTTCGATTTTCAATCAGCAACATCGTACGCAACTTGCGAAACAAAATGTCGACACAAACTAATATCTGATGACTGACTGTTGCTTTAAAAAAGGTTCCTCCAATGACAGATATTTTCTACCTGCATGTACTTTTTAGAGACTTATCATGACAATTTGCAGCAAATCATGTAACCACTGTTAATTCAGCCATTGTATATAATGTTAAAAACCAGCTATTTGCCATTGAGCTGGCATAACCTAACCTGTGCCAAGGGGAAGCCTTATGCTACGTGGAACAATCGGGGTAACATCAAACGAAAGAGCCATACATTGTCATAGTGAAGATGTCGCAGTAAGCTAGAACTAAGTCGAAGTGTCCGAAATGTCCAGAACCTGCGTGAAAATGCACCTGTCTCGTGCCGCCGTGCGTGATCGGTCGTCAACATCGGGAGCTGGTTTCCATCCATGCGACGCACTGTTTTTGCAATGCTTAAACTGTTAAGTTGTTATCTTAATTGAAATGAGAGCGTCACGGTAGGCTTACAATGGAATTTTGCGGGAATGTCACGCCTGACAGAACAGCTTACATGCAGATGGCCATACCTGCACGCAACACAGCGTTTAAATATTCCGCTTGTTGGCGCTGAGGGCGGCATGAAGTGATGAGCGGCTGCAATGATATCAGCCTCCGCAAAGGAAGGCAGTTGGTCCCAGCCGTACCGCGGAAGTTCGAGACTGTCTTGCTTTTCAAGCAAGATTTGCTTAGCCCGCGATGTCGCCCAGATTTGCAAGGTGCGCGGAAAACTAATCCGACATGGTCTGCTCAAGTTTCGATAAAATATAGCGCTCACCGGGCTCATTGTCAAAGCGTTTGTCGTTCTGCAGCTGTGTTGAAAAATATTGTGGGAGTTCTGGCCTCTCCGCTCAATAGAGAGGTTGCCTCTGGCAATACAATGACACTAGCTCTGACGTTAGCCGCCATGTCAGAAGAAAACTGATCGCAAAATACGGCATGACGCGTTCCAAATAATTCAGTTATCTTCCTGTCTGAAGGCATGTTAGGTTGGTGCGATTAGAGTAACCGTAACAACGTGACTTGCGCGCCTGATAAAATCAAGTTCGTCCTCCTTTGTCAATGTGGTCAGATATGACTCAACGTCCGTCACATCAGCAACATCCATCCTTCAGCGCAGTAACTTGTCATTGCATGTCATGCACAGAACAAAGCTAAGCCGTTTTACGCCCAGCAGCCTGCGCTGCCTGCTGAAGGTCAGAGGAGACTGAGGCCAAAGATACCCATATTTCGCAGCATCATTATTTCAACTCAAGCACCATCGTTTGGGGAAAATATCAAACTGAGCTCAGCACTACCTCCAAATCAGCAAAGTTTGGCGGAACCTTTTTTGACTCAAGCCAGAGTCTCAGCGTCGATTATTGTTTCCGGTGTTCGCAGGCCGCCCAGTGGCTGCCTCCTCAGTCTAATATCATGCCGAAATCGGCAGCCGTGCCTAAAGCCCCTTGGTTATTATAGCCACATATAAAAAGTGGCTGGGGTGCTCCGAAATGCGTGTCTGACTGGGCAGCAGTTATTCTAAAGGCTGAATTAGGCTGAGCTTGGAAGCTTGCCGAACGCCTGCGACGCCAACAAGCCTACGCATATTGCGCAAAAGAAATGTGTGACAACACCGGAGCGGTTGCATAAGCGATCATGGCAATCTAGAAGTACGAGTCAAACGATGAAATTTGGAAAAGGTCAAATCCGTAAAGAGGTCGGAACACGACTGATGTTCGATAACATGGTCATACTATGCTTCACATGAAAAAGGGCTTCTGTTTACCCCAAAACACAGTTACCATTATGTTGGAGATAATGAATGCATTAAGGTATGTAATGTGAAGATTACGTGAAAATGGAGTTTGTGTATATTCATTGAAGATAAAAACGCAATATTTGACCACGTCAGGTTGCAGGTCAAATCAACGCCACACAAAAAAAATTTGGCACATTGACGAGAGACATGCAATGGACACTGAACTGCTCTCACATTCTCAAGTTACGGTAGTGCTAGGAAAAAGGTTTGAGGTCGTTGGGTCAGCGATGCGTGCTAGCATTGAGTGACCTCCAGCGCTGACCTCGGAGGTCCTCTGAACCTACAAATAAGTTTCAGGGATCTTCCGTCCCCAATGTGTCTCGCTACAGTTGTAAAAAATCGAGGGCAAAATCGCTCGCTTGGAATCGATTTGGCGTCAAGTGGGGCGCATGTCTCGCATGAACGGCCCTGTTACGCGTGAAACCGGAATGAGTTGATTTCATTCTGACAATTATTCGCTTCCTGCAATGAATGATAACTATAGAATGTTTTCGCAGATCGTCACGACCTTGAACCGTAGCTGCACCAAGCAGGAAAGCGCGAAGCTTTAGACAGCATGCATACACTCATGTGACATGTAACATTAGGAGCATCACAATTACCGGAAGAAGTCAGTGATAGTAAACCATTTCACAACGGGTAAACTAAAATAAGCCGGTTCTGAAACGAAATGCCACACAAAAATCTGCAAAACGAAAAACGGCTTCATGTCAACTACAGGATATAAAAACAGTTGCAAAGTCTAAAAGTCCAAGATCATCACAGACAAGAAGATGCAAGCCACCAATTTCTTACCAGAAACGACACCCCATGTGAATGTGAGGCCAACAGCAGCACTCAAAAAGCCCGCAACATCACTGGAAGTGTGTATACTCACGCGAATAAAAAAGTACACCATAAAAAATATGTTGAACGCGAGATCGATCTGCTGCGTAGCATTGCTGCTCCAGCGGATGCATTGCTCCACGCCCTCGCTGCGAACAAACAGAATTGACGTCAGCGTCGCTGCGAAGCATCAGAAAACAAACAGAACTGATGTCAGCGTCGCCGCGAAGCATCAGAAAACGAAAGAAATTGCGCGGACCGACACCGCCGGAGGCAGAGCTTGTGTGGATCGAATGCTTCTATCATTTATCTTCGCTAAAGCTAAATTCAAGCGCAAAATGATTTGTGGTGGACATCAAGGGAACAATAACTGAGGAGGGTCACTAGAAACGTTCTGTTTGACAATGGTATCTCACTACTCAACAAGTGGGAAACATCTCAGTTCGGTTAGCAAGCATTTCCGCTGTTATGTCACGATTATTAATACAGAGCTAGTCTACACCGCTGTCATGCGTTTCTAATGACACAGAAAAACACGAGGCTTTGTCGCGGGTAACGACAGGTTAAGCAACCGGTTATCTTCCACATGACGAACAAAAATTGATGCTCATATATATATATATATATATATATATATATATATATATATATATATATATATATATATATATATATATCCCTCACTCTCTCTTTTCTCTCTCTCTCTCTCTTTCTCTCTCTCCCCCTCATACAACCTTATCGCACACTATCTCTCACTCGCATTCTTTCCTTGGCTTCCTCGTTTTCTTTTCCCCAGCCTAAATGAGACCACGATGGCCAATTTCCTTTCCACCGCTGATCCTTTGTAGGAAGGCAGCCTCATTCCCCCCGGACCATTACGCGAGGAGGTGAAAGAGCCCGTGCTGTGCGTTGTGCGAGGACTAGGCACGAAAGGATGACTGATGAAACAATATAACGGCAGCACATAATCCTGTCCGTGCCAGGCTGCATTACACGGTGGGACGACCGCTTTTGATGTTTTGTGGTTACCTTTCTTGCTGATGTTAACACGGCCATGGGAAGTTTGAGGGAAATGGGGAAAGCGCAAACGTGGCAATACGTCTGTAACATGGCGGTCCACTGCAGAGAAGTCAGGAAGTGGTCGGACGTTTTTGGCCTGTTAAGTTCCAAAAGACAGCTATGTCAAAAGAGGACCAGAACGGCCGTTTCAAAACGATAACCGCGCTATATACGCACATTAATTGTACAGTGCGCATATAAATAAGTACTCTAGAAGGAATGACGTTTTCCGAATGAGATATCCAGATCTGGTCATTTCAAGACAAAAAATAGCGAGTGAGCGTCCAAATGTCTGGACAGCCTGTGGTATCCTAGACGTTAAGGGCGGCAGTACCTACAAGAAAGGGTACGGGAACAGTCCAAGAAGGCAGAAGGGTCCGCAACATAGGTAAACCTTTTCGTGACAAGGTTAATGACAGAAATGACTTATCAAAGTATCGATGGAAGATAAAGTGGCGTACTCGCTTCGAAGCCACTTGACTGGAGAAAAAATTGTTTTCGATTCGTCCCTCTTTGGCAAGGCCGGTAGATAAGCCATGAATGCTTTTCCTCCTTAAGCTGCACACAAATGGTATATTGCATACTTTTCCGACGCCTATCGATATGATCTGATCTTGAAACTTAGCTCCATGGCAGGTTACGCAATTATCTTATTTGATTTAAACCAGTAATTATTACAAAAGAACCGGTATCGGCCGGCGCATGTTCAATTTGTGCGTACCATGGTGCTCAATAACATGCTATGTATGCAAAACCTTACTATAGAGCAAGCCAACCTCGGATGAAATAAGTTATTAGTGACGTCATTAACCCATCAAGTACATCGAACAAATGTGCTGTCACGGGGATCGAAGCAGCGCGCAGATATCCCCACAATAGAAATGCACGCTGTAACCCTAAACGCTGTAACCTTGCACGCTGTAAAATAAGCGCTTACATGGTGTCAAAATAGGAGGCAGCGCAGCAGACACAGATGATGTCATTTTCTAGTACGGTAGTTTTTTATCTTGATCTCCCAGTCTTGATTTAGGTTCCGATGATTATCACTAAGCCCTGAACTCGCCATCATTGACCACGATTGGCTCTCCGTCCAAAAGGTCCTCTGACCAAATTTAGCAGTGCAAATAATGTGTCGCCAAGAACGCGCTTCTACTCATTCCAGACACAGAGATAAAGAGAGAGCGAGAGTGAGAGCAGATGAGGTGAAGACCATTAAAAGCTTTTGATCATAACTTCGCGCTTCTGGGACCTGATGATATGTTGGCCCATTCTAGCAGTCTTTTTTGCCAGCCCTGCAAATGTCCTGACGCGCCCCACCGAGAACGACAAAAAGACGCGTCCTCAGCAACTGGCACGTAGAGTTGCGTAGCTTCGCTGACGTCTGGAGGCTGGCATCGATCTGGCCCACTGGCATTTAAGAGGGCATGCCACTGGTTCAAATGCATTTCTCGCGCGCTTCTGGCCACAGAAACGCACTCCACGGTGAGTTGAAGGAGGACGATGCCAAACACACGCGTTTCCCTGACAACAGGTCTATGCGGGCCTACAGAATGCAGCGAGTCCTTCTAGACGCTGAATGCCGTGCGTTTCACGGGCGCATTCCGAACCAGATCAGTAAACGCGTTTCACGGGAGCATTCCGAACCAGATCAGTAAACGTCAGGTGACGTTCTCCCGCAGAGCACGTTGCAATGCAGTTGCAGAGAACACGTTGCAGGATCTCGTCTAGATCTATCCAGAGTTGCCTGTTCATCTCTAACACGTTGTCTATAAGCAGGATGCGAAGGACGTCATTCCAAAGACATGATGCCTACATAGTTAAGATCAAGCCATGCGGGTTCCAGCGACCATTGCGACATCTTGGTTGCATCTTCGCCACTGCGGCGATGTTCTCTCCGAATCGTAACTAATGTGACCTCTGTTGAGGACGCTGTATGTGTGCCTCGTGACTCATTCACCAAAGTGTGTCCCAGTTTTGTTGCGGGGAGTTATGGGAAGGTGCACGACCCGCCCAGGTGCCCAAGTGACCGCTCTGGTGCGAGTCCGGGGCTTCCTACTGCCCGCGTTGTGCCCCAGTAACCCATGTAACTTGTGTGTCCACTTTAACGGCCCTGAGACGTGACTGCTATGGCTTAGCTGGTACTTGAACCCAGGGATCCCGACCAACTCAGGCCCCCTAACACGGGTGTGAAACCATCTCAGTCTGCCGCGCGGAACATTACATTAGGGAAGGGATGGGAGAGGGAGGGGAATACAACTGCCACTTAAACCGTGGGCAACCTTAATGCTTACCATACAGCGTTACGTGCCAAAACCCAACCCCAAAACTGTACCCTCCCCTGCAGCGCCCCACCAGCCCGCCCCGTGTTGGGGACGACCTCGCTACGAGACAGTTCAAAGCACGGACGACGAAGCGAGCCGCGGAGGGCGAAGGCGCCCGCGGCCTCGCCGGCGGCGGTTCCGACCAAAGCGAGTCTAGGGCTACGGATGCGACAGAGAGCGCGGCGCGTTACCGGTGCTGGCGCGCCGGCCGGCCGGCCACACCACCGCTCGTCACCGCTATCCCAACGCTGCAAAACAAGGGTCACGGGTTCACGAGACGGAATCGCCGACGGCGCTCGACGCACACGGCACACTGCGGCGGGCGGCGGGGATTGGCGGGTTGCTGAGTGACGCGTGTGGCTGTTGGGCTGTGATTGGCTGGCTTGTAACCGCGAGAGCGTGAGTTCGAAACTAACAGTGGGAAGTTTTCGAGCCCATCGACACCATTGACACGGCGGGCTGGCGACCCTAGAGCCTTAAGCAGTGGAAGGCATCGTAAAATGATCTACACGTTTTTACTGAACTGCTGATGTTTTTTCATTGCGACATGCCATTCTAACCATGAAAGCGATACTTTCCCGAAACTGAGATCGAAGGCAGGTCTCTCGACCCAGACACAAATGCATCATCACGCTTCATCCGACGAAACGGACGCATGCAGTATTTCGTTACTGTGGATGACATTTTACTCGGACAAAACACCCGGATATATAATATCTTGAGTGTTTTGTTCTGAATCGTTCTGGATCCGATTATCTCTGTATTAAGGTCACGTGATACATGCGTTATGCCCCGTGAACATCAGCAAAATGCTCATAAACTGCATGTTACCGCTGATGGCAGATGGCTGCACCACTGGAAATAATGCAGTGCGTCCTGGGCGGCCACGGGGAATACGCTTGCCAGACGATCGTTTCTGTTACCTCAGTTTTAATGATGTCATATCTTAAGACATTTAAGTCATTGACACTAAGCTCCACGTCATCCTGTAATCTGCTTCTGTTTTCTTACTAAGTCTTGTCAGCGAATATTAGCCTTCCATTCGGAACACATTACTTCGCTTCTCTTTTCCGACAACCGAATCAAAATCTGAAGTCAACTCTGCTTCTCGGAACGCTGCATCTTTTCGTACCTCCTTTACCTTTTGGTAGTTTTTCCCAATCAAGTTTGCATAAACAATCTCAATAGCAGGAAATGAACGGTTTGATAACGAAATGTCTAAAAGGGAGTGTAATATTATTTCACGGAAGAGGAGAATTGAAAACAAATGGCGTGGCCAGAGCGAAAACAACTCTGCAGACAACTCGAAGGAGAAGTAAGAGTAAGGGAGAGGGGAGAGAAAGGGGAGAGAGAGAGCGTCTGCTTGTCTGTCTGTCTGTCTGTCTGTCTGCCTGTCTGTCTGTCTGTCTGTCTGTCTGTCTGTCTGTCTGTCTGTCTGTCTGTCTGTCTGTCTGTCTGTCTGTCTGTCTGTCTGTCTGTCTGTCTGCCTGCATGTCTGCCTGTCTGTCTGTTTGTCAGACACCTGTCTAGCAGACACCATCACTGCTAACTCACGCAACAGATATTCTGCCTGCATGTCTGCCTGTCTGTCTGTCTGTCAGACACCTGTCTAACAGAAGCCATCACTGCTAACCCACGCAAAAGACAGACAGACAGCCTTTCTCAGTCTTTTCCGGTCTCCTGTCTGTCTGAGGGAACTGAAGTGGTGTGGTGGCGAAGAGCAAAGGCGAATATCGTTCTGCTGCATGGGGACCGCTGGCGGAGCTCTCCGCTTCTCTGGACTGGATAGGATAGGGACTGGAATGTGTGCGGTGAGTGCGTGGATGCAAAGTCCCAGTCGGCAGTTCCACGTATCACGCGGAGCAGCCTGGCCGACTTATTGACCGCTCGTGGAGAGCTCGTCCCTGTCGAACAGGCCGTCAAGGTCACAACATCGCAGCAAGGTTGACGTGAATTGGGGGTTCTTTTCGGTTCGTGTCAAATTGAGCTCGTCGGTTTATCGAACTATTGAACCATCGAGCCGCCGCAGCATTCCCTGCCACGCAGAACGACCTGGCCACCTTGACTGGCAAAAAGGCGGTGGCAGCACGATTTGCTGAATTGGACGGAACAGTTGGAGGCGATCAGACGGGTGGGATCACCGCACACGCGGCAGGTTTTGTGGGGCAGGTGCTGGGAAGAAAATTGAGCGCCAGAACCGGCGTAAAATGAGCACCATCCGACGTTTGTGGGTGCCAGTTCACGAGGTTTTCATCTGCAATTAAGGAGCACCATCTTGGCCTGCCCGGGCCAGCAAATCGTGCGTCTTTTCAGGCTTCCAACCGCCGCGGATCGCCTGATAGGCACCCGAAGATGTCAGGAGGGTAGCTGGTGCGTGTCATCGCGTCGACGACCCTCCCATCAATGAAGATGTCACGGCGACACGCCCCCTCTCTCCCCCCCCCCCCCCCCCCCCCGGCTCCGCTATCTGACGTGCATGAGTCCCGCTACGAGGTACCCCAACTTTGAACAGCTTTACCGCCTCTTGGCACCTCATGTCGAGAAGCGCCTTAAAACGTCCATATTCTGTTTAAACTCTCGACCCGTAGATGATATTCGACTGAGCTTAGCTTGCCCGTGACCGCTCGTTAAGTCCAGATCATCGTCATTCTTCCTTCACAACACCCCCGTCTCAGCCATCTCCTCCCGTCTCCGTCGCCGATAGGAAAGACCAGCGACCAGGGACCAGCGACACTGCCAAACCCAGCACAGCGCGCGGCCCCTCCCGGGTCTCCCGCTGATAACGATGTGCTTCTTGGCCTCGCGGCGAAACAGCCGACCCAAGCCACCTGCCACGGCAGCCTCCGGCCATGCCCAGGGGCGTGTTTAAGGCGGGGTACAAGACACGCGGAATCGGTGTCGCCCTTGTCAACCGATTAAACTGCATGCAGCTAACGATGTTCAGATGATATTGAAACAAATAATGTTTGAAGGAGGGATGTCGAAATCCATAACCTTGAAAAAATTATGTCGAAACGAATGGTGCTGAAATATAAAAGGATGAAAAGAAATGGTGTTGAAATAAATGATGTCGAAACAAGCTATATTGAAATGAATGATGGATGAAACAATTGTTCGGACCATCGTACTCGTCTGATGTGTTAGTAAGTAGTGTTAATGTGTGTGTTAGTATGCATGTAACATGGTATGCATACTGACACACCAGGCACGGACGCTAGGCAGAACAATTAATCTATCTGTTATACTATATCACGTCTCAATCCTTCCCTAAAATTGAAATGAATGACGCGGATGTATGCAAATGCTGACCAAACGGTGTTTAAATAACTGCAAAAAGAAATGAAGCAAGTCAAAGAACAATACTTCAAACCTGTGAAGAAGTCCCATAATTCGTTTCTGCCAGTGGCCGTGCCAAACCAGGAGCGTCTCCAGATAGGGTCAATGACGTCACTGGACGGCTGCCAGAGCGTCGGTGAGGGTGCCGGACTCATCAAGTACCATTCCGGCGACGATGGCGCACGATAACGATGATGACGACGTGATTCTGTGAGTTTATGGACGGCCCAATAATAACAAATTTAGGGTAAATGTTCAGCTCCACGGTCACCAACAAACAGCGGGATCCGTGAAGCGCCGTTTGCCCAGCTTATCAAAAGTGGGCAAACGGCCTTACAGCGCCCGATCAGAGGGCATGCTGTGGGATAACTCCACGTCATAATGACGTCAGAAGAATCGGTAAGTTCAAGTATGAAGTGATGTAGCGGGTGAGCATGCTTACTTCAGTTATCATGATTGGAAATTTGGTGTTTTTTACTTCAAAATATAGTTGCTTAGCAATTCCTGTAAATATATTGAGATCCTTAGCTATACACCGTTGATATCCATTCTTCCCTACAAGTATAACAATAAGCAAAATAGCATGGATGACAGCCTCGCTGCATCTATCGCAAAATAGCCGAGTAGTTATTCTACTTCCCTCGTTCTACAGCGGTCAACGCCAAACAAAAGTCATCAGTCAAGAGCGAATGACTAGCGACTAACAACACTCGAGGAGCGATGCCAGAGGCGTAGCCAGACACGGGAGCTTAAGATCTTGACATCCTTGTGCAATCCAACGTCTGACATTTCCATGTAGAATTTCGGACAGCTGCTCGCGGTGGTTCCCCTGAAGGAACGTAAGAACTGGAAGGACCAGGAGGGGCTGTATCTCTCCCCCCCCTCAGAGTTCCTGAAATTTAACGTGGGCGCCATGGGCATCGACTGAGAAGAAACATCCAGAAAAGGCTTTTCACCCCCAGCTTGAGGAACACCACTGACCCTGCTCTCCCCATCTTTCGCATTTCTTCGTGCACCATGGGCGAGGGCAATTACGCCGTTATTTGGCCCAGGTCGATCGAGCCCAGAAGGACCATTGGTCTTCATCCGACAGGCCTGTCGTTTATGGGCTATAAAGTCTGCCCACCTCTATAGAGGTGGACCGTGTCTTACACACATTTTGCTAATGGATTGGATTCAGTTGTGTACACTAGGACACGGTCTTGACCCATGACTTCTTCAGAATCGATTTGCTATACGTAGTTCCATGTATGCTGGTAACTACGTCAAAATTCTTAATTAATTTCTTTCGAGGCAGCCATGAAGAAGATCCAGTGATGTGTCCAGTTCATACCTACCCAGTGACGATTCAGCTGGCATACACGAAATAGCTCGAAAGCATGACACATATAACAGATAAAATGCAAAGTAGTTTTTCCAGTACCAAACGTCCCATGATGCGGTGTCCTCATTGGCAGCAGCCAAGCTAAAAGCCCAGCCAGTAAATAACACAGCACAGCCTCTCTCCATTAGCAAACTTGCTGGCAGCCAATAAAACAACTCGTATTTCTCGCCACACTGCATTGATCAGCAAACCTTCCAGGCAGCGAAAACAAAACTTGCTTCCTCTCGAAACGCGATCAGTAAACCTCGTATACGCATCTGCCTCAAGCTATCACATTTGGGTAATGTTTTAGTGCATAGTCTCTCAGCAGATACGCCTGGATACTGTAAGATGGAAACACTGAACACGGCGTCCTAACGGATGAGATCATTCCAGAAGCAAAGCTGGAAATAGAAAAACAGCCGCACAGGCTTAAAACAGAGCTTACTCACGCACCTCAGCTTCTAATGTAGCACAGTGTTGACTCCCTGCAGCAAACAATTCAGAGATGAATTTTGACAATACCCAGAATTCGCTTCTGTATTCGAT